TTGCTAAAAGGGGCAATTCAGAAAGTAGAAGAATAAAGAAATTTCTTATTCAGGAGTCCAATATTCTATTCTGTAATTCATGTTGGTTATTAAATATTTATCAATTTTTTTCTTCGAATTTTTTAAAACAAACTTTTTATTCTGGCATGCCTTTGGGCTCAAATCCCAATTGGTTCAACCGTTTGCTCAAAAAGCTTGAAATAAAACCACAAAAGAAATGTTGCAACTGCATTGCAGCATTAACTTATCCTCTGCTCAGATTGCATCTGCCAACTCAATAAATTCAATATATTTGCCTCCATCTTGTTTTAACATAATCAAACATTAAACATGACCGACTCATCAACAGAACTAATGACTTGAGTTTTTAAACAGTGACTTTAAAGTAAATTCGTTGATAAGAGTATCACTGATCCGTCGCAAAAACTTTGATTTCGAAAAAAGTTTTCTTAAAAAATTTCCGTTAAAAAACTGCATTTTTGTTTGTATTCTTGGTCTTAGGAACCCTTTAGTTAAGTAGAAGTTCTCTACAGATTTACTCGGGATCAGAGGCCGAATTTAAAGAATTTAAGCCGCGGCTTAAATCCGCCAAAACCCGGTTTAAATTAAGCGCCGACTTGAATCTTGAAACATCTGATACAATTTTAAGTGGAACCAAGACCAACCATAATTAAGCCGCGGCTTAAATTTAAGCCGCCGCGAGACATGGTTGAACTTCGTGGACATGGTTCAGCCACCTATCTTTCTTCAGTTTGAACCAGCGCACAGTGCGGTTCAGTTATTTCTCCCTGTTCAAAACATTTGATCCCAGAAAGTTTTAAATAATTCGATCATGACTTAAGTCAGCCAAGAATTAACAATTTTGTATCCTATTTCCTTTCTTCCGAAAAATATAACATAAGAACATTTCCTTCATTGTTTTTATTGAATTACTTCAGCTTTTCGTATCTTCTTCAATTTAAAATGAGCGCATTTTAAGAAAATAAACGAAGGCTGAAGAAGATTTGTATTGTACTATGGGTCCATTATTTAATCATCATAATACAATGGGTCCCTTATTTAAAAACTTGCCTCGGGGTCCCTTTCAAAGTTCACCATATAACATGCCAACCAACAGCCTCCAATTATTATATCTAAAATAATAAACTGTCAAAGTTGTAGAAAAGTATATTTTATCGGTATTTTATACGAATATTTATCAAAACTAACTCCGGTCTTCATAGGTAAATATACTTTGTAATCCGAATTTAGCGAGGTTTTATGAAATGTTTTGAGTAAATCAATTCCCGGTTTCAGCTTCACGGTTCCTTCTTAACTCCGTCATTGGAAATCTATCCGTTCTCAAACCATTCAACCTTGAAAAGCGGGAGGTTTTAACAATTTATTCACGGAAATCAATCTTTAATTTTAAGATAACAGAAAATATCAAAAATGGAAATAAATTATCTACTAAACAATTATGCGATAAATGCGGGAATTAAATGTGCACAGTCATCTATCCGCTGAATGAGTTTAGGCATTAAACTGCGGAGTACGATATTAACGGAGAGAAAATAATATAATCCTCTGGTCCCAGGCCTCTCATACAACTGGAGCTATGGAGGATGGTTGGGTGAGGCTTCACAGCTGATAACGGCCTCTCCGAACCGACCCGGCTGGTTGGAGGCCTGACTCGACAAGTTCTATGCCCTGCGACATTGTCCCAGGCCGGATGGTTGGAGACCCAACCCGACAAAGACTGTGTCCCAGCTCGGAGGCTAAAATGGTTGGTAAGGATTGGTGACTAAGGGGTAGAGCGGACTGATGGTCGAGTATGTACGTTGTACATAGTACAGTTATTGGAGATATTTGTAAAATATGTTTGTTTATGTAAAACCAATAAATTTATTTTTTATTTTTTATATGAAATGAAAAATAACTCATAAAAAAAATATAAAATTAATTTCGACCCATACAAGAATAAAGTATACAGAGCTGGAAACTTTATAATGGTGGATATCAAATTCAATGCTTGATCTCCTCTTTTTCTTAATCTCCAAATTAAATAAGGCTTGTTCCTTACTTCTTATTAATCTACAGATTAATTAACTGATTGGGATTAAGGATATCCCATTCTAAAGTTTTCAGCTCTGTATACATACATAGAAGGATGGAGGAAGTCACACAAAAAGGATAAATCAAACATTCCAACAAAAAAGTAGTTAAATGAAATTGAAAGATAGAAGATGACGAAAACGTAATAACAGAAATAACTGGAAAAGGGAAAATGACAAGTTTTGAACAAAAAAAGTTGTGTAGAGGGCCGGGGGTTGTGTATAAATGGCCCGAAAAATAGATAAAAGTACAGGAAATAAAAAATCATAACAAGGGGAAATAAATGTGCCTTTCTTCCTTCTCAACTAGAAAGGCCAATTTTCCCTAACAACAGGCCCATGAGTCATCACTGAAGATTTATCTGAGATATTCCACAGCTTGGATTATATTAGTCATACAATACAAAACCTCGATTAGAAGGATCCTAGAGACGGAACTTAAGAGAATCTTGTTAAACGATGTTAAAGATTTGATGATCCAAATATTTCAATACGCGGCGGTAACAGGATTTTCTTCGAGAAGGGAGAAACCCCAATCGCCCCCATTAAAAGTTATTTAGAAGTGTTCAAGTAAATAAAATAAAAAAAACAGTTAATCTCAATTTAAAAGATGGGAATATTATAAATTAGAGGTTTCTCTGTTAACTCGTTTGAAAATTCCTTAAAATGATTTTTATTAATGTTTAAATATTTAATATAAACTTGGAAGTTTTGCTGTCTTATATGAAAAAGATAAAAACATCAATTTTTAAGACTGGGTCGACTAAGACTTAAGAAAACCATTTACTAAGACTTAAGAAAACCATTTGGTCTATTCCAAAAAAAAACAGCATGAAGTAGAAATGCGCAAGTTGATTTTGCAGTGAAACCAAAATTGAAACTAATTTTAGTTTCAAAATATTCATGCTTCAATAAAAAGTAAGTCATCTAATATTCTGAAACTAAAGATAAAAGGGTTACGACACTTTAAAGTCGCTCCGGTTAAGAAATTTGATCCAATATAAGATATCCGATTACATATAAGAAAGAAAGTAAGTCTTTGCCACAAACTATAATTTTCTAATTAATATATCTTTGCAACCCCATGTTGCAACCTTTAGATATTTCAAACTATGAATTGTGTTTAGATCAAATATGATCCAAGCTTAAAATATCAAAGGTTTACACCATCAGATTGCACAGATATAGGAAATAGAACATTTGAGTTTGTGGTAAATACTTAATTTCTTTACTACTATTTTGTTCTTCTCACTAACTCATCAATAAAACGTTTAAGATTTTTATCTTTCAAGAAACTCAAATGTTCTGGATTTAGCTTTAAAAAACAGTATTTGGATAACGTCTTTTGATCAAATTCCGAGTTTCTATGTGGGGCCACAAATAAAATTCATAACGACCATTTACAAAACGATCGTTTTGAAATTTTCAACACAAAAATTTTTTCCGTTTTGGTCTCGAAAATTTAAGAATGAGTTTTTAAAAAACCGTAAGCGGCCATCCCTAGCCTAGGGTCCATGAGTTAAATTTCTATTAACATAATATGATGAATTTTCCCACCTGTTGCTAACATGCATCTAATTTATAATCTGAAGTACCCGGGGTTTAGCAATTAAAATCACAGCCATACTTTCTTCTGAAAATAGTAAATTATGAACACATTTTTTCACCTAAAAAATCCTTATATTTGATCAGTTCACAACATTGTGTCTTAATGAGACTGCAGACGGTATTTGAAATAAAATGCATTTTTTTTAAGTGGCATGTCCGATTTACGATGTTACACTTATAACCAGATAAAAGATAAATGAGATATTCTTGTTTTCCAATGGAAAATTTTAATATTTTTTAATTATGGATTCTCTCACGAAGCACAGTTCAAAATACAATTTTTTATTTAACACTTTTTTCTGTTAGGAAAACGGCAATATATATTTCTTATTTGTGCACAGAAAAAGGTTAAAGGGTACCATTGTGAATAGGACATGCAACTTTATAACCGGTCACATTAAAGTATGTTTACAGTTCTAAAATTGTTAAGTACAAAAATGGCATTTTAGAAATAATTAGTTATAAAAATGGATAATTTTTACAAAAATATCACATCGCGGCTAAATATATTATAGATTTTGTATATATTAATATTTTGTATATAAATCGTATGCATGAACATTGAACAATATAATTGTAATTTACAGCTTTTAATCACTAATTATCACATTTATAAATAAAAATCATAGATTTCGAAAAATCAGGCAAAAAATCATTTTACATTTAAAACTTTAACAGGGTTTGGGCATAAACATAAACATAAACAAATAATTATTATTTAAATGTTTATGTTAAATTTATTGGACCGTGGAATATTAAGAAACATTGGCTAAATCTAGAAAAAAAATTATATTATTAAAAAATATCTTGGGAGAAAATCTTTAAAAATTTAATTCTCTTGACAAATTATTCAATTAAAAGTTTGTTGAAAAGTTAATGCGATTAAAGTTTGCTCAAAACTATGCTTTATCTTGCAAAGAGAAAATATTTTATGAAACTATAATTGTATAAAACCTTGCTCCAGACTCCAAAGTAGCTTCGTCAGGTTCTAATACTCAAGGTCACATTTATAGCAACTGGAAATCCAGAGTCCGACGGAACTCCGCCAGGTTTTAAATCTCAGGGCTGCATTGCTAGCTTCAGGAAATTAGGAAAAAGGTAATCCAGTCGGGTTTATTTGCTCCTGGTTAAATTCCTAACTGCTGAAAATCTTGGGCACGAAGTAGCTCTGTCAAGTTCATCTACTCAGGGTTCCATTTTTGACTGCTGTAAATCTCGAGTCCGGAGTAACTCCGTCAAGTTCATCTACTCAGGGTTACATTCCTACGTGCTGGAAATTTTCCGTCCGGAGTAACTCTGTCAGGTTCATATACTCAGGGTTACATTCCTAGCTGCTGAAAATCTTGGGCACGAAGTAACTTCGTCAGGTTCATATACTCAGGGTTATATTCCTAACTGCTGAAAATCTTGAGTCCGGAGTAACTCTGTCAAGTTCATCTACTCCGGGTTACATCCCTAACTGCTGAAAATCTTGAGTCCGGAGTAACTCTGTCAGGTTCATATACTCCGGGTTATCGGAGAACACTTGGAACAGATCATCAAATCCAGGCCTGAACAAAAGCAAATAATTTTAACAAATTAACAAACCTAATCTTACAATAAAAGTTGGTATAAATAAATCGATTGAATATTGGGCAATCAATGTGATTATTTGAGATAACACAAATAGGACAAAACAGTTTTTTTGTTTTATGAGGGTAGCATTTGTTCAGAGTACCCTATACAGTGAAGTACAACGATTTCAATAGTTTTGGCACAAAGACAAGTAAAATATTTTTATGAAAATAATTAATTGAGTACACATGAAAACAATTTAAAGTTAGAATATGCTAATTTCATAAACAATTTAAACCACTCCAGTGGTTTAACACCACTGGAGTAGTTTTATATTTGTTTATAGAATTCAAATAGGGAAAAAATATTACCTTTCCTGTGGATTATACTCCCAACACTTCAACATATAATCATATACATCATTAGTCGCCATATCAGGTTGGGGTAATCTAGAATACAATATATATATCATTAGTCGCCATATCAGGTTGGGGTAATCTAGAATACAATATATCCATCATTAGTTACCATTCAGGTTGGGGTAATCTAGAATACAATATATACATCATTAGTTACCATATCAGGTTAGGGTAATCTAGAATACAATATATATATCATTAGTCGTCATATCAGGTTGGGGTAATCTAGAATACAATATATACATCATTAGTCGTCATATCAGGTTGGGGTAATCTAGAATACAATATATACATCATTAGTTACCATTCAGGTTGGGGTAATCTAGAATACAATATATACATCATTAGTTACCATTCAGGTTGGGGTAATCTAGAATACAATATATACATCATTAGTTGCCATTTCAGGTTGGGGTAATCTAGAATACAATATATACATCATTAGTTACCATTTCAGGTTGGGGTTATCTAGAATACAATATATAAATCATTAGTTACCATATCAGGTTGGGGAAATCTAGAATACAATATATACATGTTTAGTTACCATTTCAGGTTGGGGTAATCTAGAATACAATATATACATCGTTAGTCACTATTCGAGGTTGGGGTAATCTAGAATACAATATATACATCATTAGTTACCATTTCAGGTTGGGGTAATCTAGAATACAATATATAAATCATTAGTTACCATATCAGGTTGGGGAAATCTAGAATACAATATATACATGTTTAGTTACCATATCAGGTTGGGGAAATCTAGAATACAATATATACATGTTTAGTTACCATTTCAGGTTGGGGTAATCTAGAATACAATATATACATCATTAGTCACTATTCGAGGTTGGGGTAATCTACGTATATCTTCCAGAATGCATTTTCGTACAGTATTATTCAAAATATACCAGTATTTTACTGTGCATCCTCTGTGTACTGTACTGCGTTAAATATATACCTGTGTCCAGCTTCTATGTACTGTATGAACTCTTGGGAAGTTTTATTCTCAAAAGGTTGTTTTCCATAACTGAAAATAAACAAGATGTCCTTTTATTCAAAGAGAAAATGTTTCTTTCAATAAAAATTCAGATATTCCCCGAGGGGGAAATAAAATTGAATTAGTTTTATACTCGACATTTTACACATTTATTTCATGCTTCTACTTTTTCATTTGTTTATTTTGTGTATTTTTCATTCAATTTATCCCCTTCTTAGCTTAACTTACTCATACGTAAAGTGCATTTATTTCGTCCAGGCCGCCCCCCCTCTCGTCTTAGTTACAATTTATCACTTTTCTCTTTCTTTTATCTCAATTCTGTTTCATTGTTTTCTCTTAATTCTCACTTGTTCTTCTTCAAATTTCTATTTCCCTATTCATTATAACGCTTGTTTTAAATCTCTCCTATTATTATCATAAAATCCTCCGCTTTGCGATTTCTTTTTTGGGATTCGGAGACACTTAACAATCGTGGATCCGCTAGGGAAAACCAAAATTAAATTTTAAATTTTTTTTTCAGTAACTGTTCAGCAATAAGCATAATTTCAAGTGACCATTCATGCAAAGATGGCAATGCTTGATTCACAATGGTTCCCTTAAAAGCTTTGTCTGATCAAGTGTGAATTAGATATCAATGTTTTTAATTTTAGTAACTTATTATTTTCAATTGAGATTTTGCCAAGAAGTGAATTGTGCATTTCTACTGCAGGCAAAATATTTTACTAGAATATTTCCGCGTTTTTACCCGTGCTTTACTCGGGATGAGTATTCAAGATCGTGGAAAGTAGCTATACAACGAGTATAACACAAGGAGGGGCCGTAAATTAATCAAGTGAATTATCAACCAGTTCTCTACCATGCTAATCTCGTTGCAAACAGCTGTGTTATCCTTGTTGGGAAGCCATGAATATTGAATTTTATAAGAATTTGGTATATATATATATAGGAATCATAAAAATCAAGCCATTTTTAAACCTAGAAAGACGACAATACCTTCCACACTATTGATCAGATAATGATTTCATGGGTAACTGTTATCAATCGGGCATTGCTATTAGCCTATCTTTGAATGAAGGCTGAAGGGTCACTTTAAAGCTTCAAAAGTAAAAAAAGAAAGTAATGAAGTAACAATATGGCATCGGAACATAATATTTTTTTTATATAAACTGTTCAAAATCTGAATCCATGTTTCATGAGAAAAGGGACAAATCTAACCAACTACAGTTTAACCCAGAACTTTGGAGATATCGAAAGAATTTATAAAATGTCGTTTTCTAAACCTACTGATCACGGAAAGCAGCAGATATTAAGTTTTTAAAAAAATAATTATATGGAGCTCTTTAAAACTATTCTTGCATATTTCATTGCTGTTTAATTGTGTTTAAAATCACTGAAATGTAGGTATAATAGTATAAACCCATTCAAAAATTGTTACGACGACATTTTATAGACCATTTCGATCTCTCCAAAGTTGTATATTACCTGTACATCTCCCAGAGCATAACTCCATAGCTCCAAACATCACTAGCATGTGAGAAAGTCCCAAAATTTATGCACTCTGGAGCATACCATCGAATAGGCCATTTTCCTCCTTGAACAGACCTAAATATACAAAATAAATAAGGAGCTCCATTTTTACAGAACTGCACCTCGATATATTCAGGGCGGAATGCAATCGGTTTATTCTAATTAAATACAATCTTGTGTCGATCTACAATTCAACAATCTTTAAACTAACAGAGTTGTCTTTTTATACTTTTTCGTTTAAATAAAACTCAAATTCTAACAAAAACAAAGTATAAAAGAGAAAAATTATGTTTAATAGGTCAAATTGAGATCGAAGTTCAAAATAAGATTGGCAAAAAATTCTTCTTTTTTGGGTGAAACTCTCTAGTAAGTGTAGTTTGAGCGAAACGTGAGTTGGGTGAAATGTAATTTGGGTGAAACGTAGTATTGGGTGAAACGTGAATTGGGTGAAACGTTATATTGGGTGAAACGTTATTGGGTGAAACGTTATTGGGTGAAACGTGATTGGGCGAACTGTTACCACACCATTTCTCTGGGATAAGGGAACCCTTAAATCCGTGTGACTATTTTATCTTTTACATGATATTTTCAAACCTACTCTGAAATGAAAACAACTTTTATTATAATTTTCTATTACCAATATTCTAGATAACTTACTTATAGTAGTTTTTATCCCCTACTACTCGTGAGAGTCCAAAATCTGATATCTTTGTCTGGTATTTGGATGACAGAAGGATATTTCTGGCAGCTATGCAAAAATAAATTCATACAAATATTTCCAGAAAATGAAGAAAAAAAAATATTAAATTCATTTTGTTATTTTCATCAATGTTTATATATACAATTTAAGTTATGAATTGCATTCCTAAGTCTCGATGCACAAATCTTTTTGTTTGAAGATAAAGCATGCCGCATGCTATCTGACTGGCCCACAGTGGTAGCTCCATATCTGTTCCCACAGTATCTGGATGTTCCTGCAGATATTCAAGCATAGAACCTGAACATTTAACAATAGCTATAGCTCGCCAAACAGCTGGACCATATTCTCCATGAGACTATGAAAGGTTAAAAAATAAATTTTTTGTTTCAAAATTCGAAATTATTTTTTCTTGTATTTCTATGATTCCACAGACAACGCCAGACACTTCAGCTAGTAATATATGAATTGTATTTGTATATATATAAAATAGTAATATATGTTTGTCTGTTTATATGTCCGATCATAACTTATGAAACCCCTTGGGTCGATTTGCTTCAAATTTTGATTTTGTGGATCTCGGTAGAACCACGGGAGAGTTCTTAGCTTGGTTTAAGAAGTTGTTTTTTATGAGTGAAGTTTAAATTCAGGCAAAGTTGGGTTTCCAAACTAGAAAAGGTAACACATCGTTAAAGCTCGCTCATTGTTAACGGTCTGAAGGTTAACAAGCGGTAATAATAAAATAGAAGAAACCTCGGCATTTTGGTTAAAATAATATAAACTACTAGCTGAAGTGCCCGGCGATGTCCGTAAAATTTTTTTAAAAAAAACGATTATTGTTACCCCTATCCATTTCCCTAAAAATGTCAGCCAATTTGGTCCAGCCCTTTGGCCAGCATATATAAGCCGTCATATAAAAATATTATTTATTTTTATATAGAAGGTAGACATTAAGGATAATTGATTTACTATTTTAGAACTGATCAATTCCCATTGAGGGTTCTCTATAAAATGACAAGCGAATGCATGCACTGTATGCAAGAAAGAAATGTCTTTCTTTTTGATGCTGGTTTCGAAAGTTCAAACTTGATGTAGATACATCATTTTCATAGTATGTTTATTTTATATAATTAATAAAATTTTACACCACAAATAATTCCCGGGATTTTAAATGTACAAATATAAAAGATTTTACAAAATTTACGATCATCAGCTGCTGAAGACTCGAGCCTTAAAGAGAGAAAACCCCAAGATGGATGGTTCTTACTAAACTCAAGGCCATCCAAAACCCGGGTCTTGACTTGAGCTTTACTTGGGTCTAAGCAGACGGAAAGACCGGGTTTTACTCGGGTTTAAGCTTTTAAATCTCATCTCTGGTAGGGTTTCCAGCGCAAGTGGGTCTTACTTGCGCGCAATTCTGGGCAACGGAATTCTAATTGTAAACTATATTACCTAGAGGGACGAGTTCCATGACCATAAATAATGAAGGCCCATGAGTTATTCCTTGTTTACCTAGTGGGACACGTTCCATGACCATAAATACAGGAGGACCATGAGAAATTCCTTGTTTACCTAGTAGGACGAGTTCCATGACCATATGACCATAAATACGGGAGTACATATTGAGTTCCATGACCATATGACCATAAATACGGGAGGACATATTGGATATTCCTTGTTTACCTAGTGGGACGAGTTCCATGACCATAAATACAGGAGGACCATGACATATTCCTTGTTTACCTATTGGGACGAGTTCCATGGCCATAAACCCAGGAGGACTATGAGATATTCCTTGTTTACCTCGTGGGACGAGTTCCATGACATTATGAACATAAATACGGGAGGACCCTTAGATATTACTTTTTTACCTAGTGGGACGAGTTCCATGACCATAAATAAAAGAGGACCATGAGATATTCTTTGTTTACCTAGGGGGACGAGTTCCATGACCTTAGATACAGGAGGGCCATGAGATATTCCTTGTTTAACTAGTAGGACAATTTCCATGACCATAAATACAGGAGGACAATGAGATATTCCTTGTTTACCTATTGGGACGAGTTCCAAGACCGTAATACAGGAGGACCATGACATATTCCTTGTTTACCTATTGGGACGAGTTCCATGACCATAAATACAAGAGGACCATGACATTTTCCTTGTTTACCTATTGGGACGAGTTCCATGGCCATAAATACAGGAGGACCATGACATATTCCTTGTTTACCTAGTGGGACGAGTTCCATGACCATGAATACAGGAGGACCATGAGATATTCCTTGTTTACCTAGGGGGACGAGTTCCATGACCATAAATACAGGAGGACCATGAGATATTCCCAGTAGTTGGACAACACACTGATGGTCCAGGGACATCATGATTTTAGCTTCACGGAGAAATTCCTCACTCTGAACACAGAGTAATCTTTAGGAGTTAGAAGTTTTTCAAAGCTCTTGTGGAAATTTTTTTTACAAAATCTTTCAATTCTCCGAAGTTCTAGTTTAAACTGTACAAAAAAATCATATTTGTCATGAAGATTCAAGTACAATACTAATATTATCCGTTCGAGTTTATTTTCAAAGAATGAAAAGTTTAAATGCTATTTAAGGAAAAATAAATATATCAAACGTTATCATACAGTGAGATCCAAAAAACTGTGGAATATGAAGACGACATTACAGCAATAATTAAGTGTATTTGATGTTGTCACAAAGCAAATAGTTTTTCTAGTATCTTATCATTTCACTTATTTATTGAAATTGGTCTGTTTATACAATTTTTGCGTTTCATGTTTATTGTTCATTGCCTTATTTGAAGTGATAACTTGAGTATTAATGTCGTCTAAATATTGTGTTTTGGTTATCACTGTATAAGTATTACTTTTCTAAAATATCATCTCATTAAGTAAAAAAAGTATAATAAAAATAATAAAAATGTATGAATTATACCTGGCTTGGTTCAATACTATCTTCACTAAGAGCTTTTATTGCCACCTCCTTAACTACACCCTGCTCCGTCATATAGCTGCCTTTAAACACAGAACCAAACTCACCTTTTCCTAGATATAATAACTGCATCATCCTGGATTCTGGATTTATAAGTGAGAACCAGAAAACTTTGGAATAGCAAGATGACTTTCACACTAAATTTATGACTATTAATTTGTCCAATGAACTAGAGACACAGAATTTAATTTGATGATTTAATAAGTTACAAGCAAAGCTATATGTTTTGTTACAACAACATCCAATACACTTAAATATTGGGTTAATGTCGTCTTCCTATTAAACTGTTTCTGGTTTCACTGTATATGGCTAAACAGAAAGTCGCCGATTAAGCATTCAACTAGCGACAATGTCGGCATGGTTGGAACTACAAATTGCTTTTGAAAATAAGCTTGCAGATGTTAATTAATTATACATTTTAACCCAATACTTTGAAGACATCGTCATACTACCTACTGAAAATGGAATACTGCATGCAGATTTTAAGTTTTATAACTGAATTATTATATGTTCCCGCATATTTAATGGCTATTCATTTATTAGATTTAGGTATAGTAGTACAAAACCTATTAGAAAATTATCAAGACGACATTTGATAATTTTTTTTTAATTCTCGATAGTTCTGTGTTAGACTGTAAAAAATACAAGTTCAACTCACCATAACCATCATCACTTCACAAAATAATTTGACAATTTATTTTTATTGAGTCTCATTTTCAGAAGAAAATGTTTATTTCTGTTATGAACTCAAGTTTGTTCCATTTTTTAAGGTTAAGGCTTCAAAAAAAATGCATGTAATTCAGAAGCATTTAAAGCTTTAAATGAGATTGAAGGGACTAATCAGAAAATTAAAAAAAATGTCAAAGGCTGGTAAAAATATTCTAGGTTTTTCGAATACTATGCGAGTATTTTGGCGTCCCATATCTAATATGATATGGACGCTTTGTATATAAAGTGAAAACTTTTCTTCCCAAAGGACCGGAGTTTTTGCCGCAAACTCAAATTGTCTTATCCCTATAACTTTACAACCCAATGTTGCAACTCTTTTATATTTTGAACTAAAAGTTATTATTAATCTAAACTTATAAGTTTGAAATATAAAAGGTTTACACCTTCAGGTTGCAAAGATTTAAGGATTAGAGAAATTGAGTTTGTGCTTAAAACTCAATTTCTTTCAGTAATGAAAATCAGGCAATACGAGTTTCGACTTGCCTTGACTCCAACCTTTGTGCCATTCACGGATCCAATAGAACATTTTGCCCAAACGGTTTATAACCTCTATTTAATGTGGCATTTTGTTTTTTTTTAAATTCAATGAGGTTAAAAAAAAGATAATGACCTTTTATCCAGTTTTGCTTCCAGGTGGTTTTAAATTACATTTTTTAACTACCAAGATATATCTAGTGGCCTTAGGTAACTTAGTTTAATGAACTAAAACAAGTGGTTTAAAAATTGTAGGTTTTAGGACACTCTTCAAAGTTTAATTGTACAAACCTATAGAATCAGTTAACTTGATGGACTCTTGAGGAATATTATCTTTACTATGTCGAACTCTCCTTAAAAATAATAAATATAAACTTCTAATATGATTGCTTGTATGGTTGTTGATAAATTGGTTTAATTCAATATCCATTAAACTTTTTATAATAAATGTGTTTAAAGTTATCATATTTTGAGAAATCATTTTTGCAATTAGTAACAACACAATTTTATGATAACGGCCTTAGAGGAAAAACTTTAGAGTTTCCTTGAACAAAATTATTTATTTCGTTAAAAGCTGGAATTTTGCATACAAAACCCCATATATCATTGACTCTCCGGCTAAATATTTGGTTGGAAAATAATTATTTTGAAAGAGGGAAAATAATTTTGGGAAAAACATATTATACAATACACCAAGAACTCAAACCAGATGATTATCTTTGAACAAAGGAATTGAGTTTCAGCCACAAATTCAAATTTTCTAATCCCTATATCTTTGCAACCCGATGGTGAGAACCTTAGATATTTAATTAGTCACTCCGACTATTTAATCAAACAGAGTTAATATCTAAGATCTAAGACATCGGGTGACAAAGATATAGGGGTTAGAAAACCAGAGTTTGTGGCAAAAACTCAATTCCTTTATCAGAAAATGTGGTACCACTGATCCAACCAAGAGGAAAACGATCTAAGCTAAAATGTTTTCTGACCCTAGTGTTCTATTAGTGTATTAGAATAAGCTCTATGTAGGTTGAGTAGGATGGCACAGTAAATAAGAGGTTTTGGTTTAAAGTCCCGAGAGTCTTAACTTTAGAACCCATTTTCTCCCATCAAATGTATATTTTTCGTAATTTGCTATTTTTTACTTTTTCCATGGGTTATTGTATCTTAAATATGTGAGAATATGAGGTCTCTTAGACTAGTTTTGTCAAATTTTAAATAAAAGATTAAAATATGACTGAAAATAAACCGATACAGGCAGGATACACTAAGTGATAATTAGTTTTCCCGAAGGGGGTATTATGAAGAGACAATTTGAATCTTCAAAAAGGAGCGTTGAGTTAAAATTACTTAATATTTTCTACTTGACAATTTGTTCCAATACTCTCTCGGTCAGTTTCCTCACAGGTAAAGAAGTATATAATAAAGTTTAAAGATACTCTGGATGCGCTCCAATGTAGGTAAAGACGACCTTTATTGCAATGGTCACTCTTAATCATTATATGACGTCACTGTTTTTTTAAAGAATAATATTAATAAATTTCGCGTCTCAATAAATATAAACGAACTAAAAAATTGAAATTTGAATTAGAATTGCATTTTTTAACTTGAAACTTGTTAGCACAATCAGCACTTGTCAATGTGATGATTGTTAGTTAAGTATCAGTGACGTCATATGAGGATTTTGAGTGTCCGATGCAATACTGACGACATTCATCTACATTGGTGCGCATCCAGAGAATCTATCCGTATTATACAACCTCGGTTTCTTCTAGGGTTAGTTTCCGTAGCCTCAAAAATGTTTTTACCTGAGAGTATCATTGTTAGCGTATAGTTTCTGATTATCAATGGTTCTCAGGTTGGATGGATATGCCAGGAGTCTAGATCTGGTAGGTACTCGGGGAGCCAGGAGAGGACTCTCCTCCTCCACCTTCACCTTGTCCTCCATCCTCATAGTTCCCTGTTCACTCCAGATCTTCGTCCCGTTATACTCGGCTAGATATAATGATGATAATGATGATAATGATGATAATGATGATAATGATGATAATGATGACAATGATGATAATGATGATAATGATGATAATGATGATAATGATGATAATGATGGTAATGATGATAATGATAATAATGATAATAATGATAATAATGACAATAATGATAATAATGATAATAATGATAATAATGATAATAATGATGATATTGATGATATTGATGATTTTGATGATTTTGATGATATTGATGATATTGATGATATTGATGATATTGATGATATTGATGATATTGATGATATTGATGATATTGATGATAATGATGATATTGATAATAATGATGATAATGATGATAATGATGATAATGAAGAAATTGATAATAATGATGATATTGATGATATTGATGATATTGATGATATTGATGATATTGATGATATTGATAATAATGATGATAATGAAGATAATGAAGGCAGAAGATTACTGATGGACATCGTTTTAAGGGATCCCTTTTTTAAATATTCAAACTTTTTAGACTTACAATAGACTCTTACAAGAATCTGAGATGTGAATCAATTTTATTACAAAACTGCTAGACAAGTTTACTTTCCAAATTATTAACCAAATCAATTTTTAAACGATTAGAAAATAGTTTTTCGATTTTGTTTTGAAAAATGGTTTGGTTAATATCTTGGATCAGAGAAAATACTCCTCATAAAGTAATTAAAACAAACTTATCGTGGAAACAATTTTTGAAACTTAATCAACAACTCACATTTTTGTGAAACACTCATGACATTAAAAAAACCTAATGTCTCTAAACGGACCTCAAATCAGATCTCAAAAAGGACCTCATAACGGACCTCAAACCAGATCTCAAAACGGACCTCAAAACAGACCTCAAAACGAACCTCAAACCAGATCTCAAAACCGACCTCAAAACGGATCTCAAAACTGATCTCAAAACGGATCTCAAAACTGATCTCAAAACGGATCTCAAAACTGATCTCAAAACGGATCTCAAAACGGATCTCAAAACGGATCTCAAAACGGACCTCAAAACGGACCTCAAAACGGACCTCAAAACAGACCTCAAAACAGACCTCACAACATATCTCAAAACGGGCCTCAAATCAGACCTCAAAACGGATCTAAAAATGGACCTCTAAACGGACCTTAAAACGGACCTCAACATGGATCTCACAATGGACATCAAAATGGACCTCAAAACGAACCTCAAAATAAACCTCAAATGTGCCTCAAAACGGACCTCAAACGGACCTCTTAACGTATCTCTAAACAGATTTCAAAACAGATCTCAAAATGGATATCAAGACAGACCTCAAAACAGGCCTCAAAAGGGACCTCAAAGCAGACCTCAAAACGGACCTCAAAACGAATCTCAAAACGGATTTAAAAACAGATTTCAAAATGGACCTCAAGGCAGACCTAAAAACAGATCTCAAACAGACCTTAATACGGATCTCAAAACGTACCTCAAAGTGGATCTCAAAATGGACCTCAAAACAGACTTCAAAGTGGATCTCAAAATGGACCTCAAAACAGACTTCAAAACGGATCTCAAAACGAATCTCAAAATGGACCTAAAAGCGGACCTCAAAACGGACCTCAAAACAGACCTCAAAGCAGATCTCAAAACCTATCAATATCTGATTTAGGAGGTAGCTGTAAAAATAATAAACCCCATGTTAAGGTGAAGTGAACAGAAACATGTGATAGAACAACCAGACACTGATGAGCTCTTGGAACTTTGAAGAACCTTTTGTGATTCACCACTCACAATTTAATAACTAACAGAAAAAATTTGTATTCTTAAATATTTGAAATATTAATGTTTCAGAGTGATATATGCAATGACAATCGGCATAAGTTTTGGATATTCTTCTAACCTTAAAGGTCAAAAATAACTTTTATAAACATTTATGAAAAAGAGTAAATTTGAGTATTAAAACTTGAGCATAGTCCGAAAAAGGCAAAAATTAAACATTTTAAAAAACTGTGCAGGTTAAAGTGATAATGAGGACTGAACGGTATTTAAACAAGAAGGATCAAGGACTCAACTGATCAAGGATTCGGGATCCACCTCTAAACGGATCAAGGATTCAACTAATCAAGGATCAAGGATTCAACTAATCAAGGATCAAGGACTCAACTAATCAAGGATCAAGGACTCAACTAATCAAGGATCAAGGACTTAACTAATCAAGGATCAAGGACTCAACTAAACAAGAAAAGCATCATTTAACAGGAGAAGTCTAGCCTGGATGTTGCCAACGTAAGTCCTTGTGTGATTTTGTATTAATATTCTAAAAAGTTAAAGATCCTCTGCATTTTAATACTGTTCAAACAAACTAAAGATTCCTTATTATGCACTAATTTTAAACTGATAAAAAGCTTAACAAAGGAAAAATCTAAATATTTTAAACTCTAATCTTTTTTCTAGATTGGCAAATTCTAGGAAGGATATATTTTAAACATAAGTATGTAGATCATTATTGTATAAAGATTATATTATTTAGGTTTTTTGATCGCTCAAAAACTTATAATTCCAGATGAGCGCATATGAAAAATTGGCTTTAAAAAAGGCTGGCTGGTCATCCTGCAGATAAAATATCAAGAAAAGGTGGTATATTTTCACAGTAGCAATGGACCAGGAGGTTGACCTTCCTAGATCTGATTTAGGAGGTAGCAGTGGACCAGGATGTTGACCTACCTAGATCTGATTTAGGAGGTAGTATGGACCAGGAGGTTGACCTACCTATATCTGATTAACGAGGTAATAGTGTACTAGGATGTTGACCTACCTAGATCTGATTTAGGAGGAAGCAGTGGACCAGGAGGTTGACCTACCTATATCTGATTAACGAGGTAGTAGTGTACTAGGATGTTGACCTACCTAGATCTGATTTAGGAGGAAGCAGTGGACCAGCAGGTTGACCGATACGCTCAGGTATTGCTGGCACACTCTTCCTTTAAAATAAACTTGCGTAAATTCATAGTCAACGTTAACCCTGCCCTTTACCCGCGCTAGGTATTATATCACAGGTGTAGCTGACGTGCCCGGCGGTGCCAATTAAAATTCAAACATTTCAAAATTTGTTTAGCCTTTGACACTATTAGATAAAACTAACTAAAAGGAACGCGTGTCTGTACCGTGTGTTCGTCTTTTTATTAATGATCTTGTTGTTGTTGTAGCCATTAAACCATAGTAGCGTATATGGACATAGAACAAAATGAAGTTTTTTTGGCCACCAACTGAATAAAACACTGGATAGAAATAAAAATAAAAACCTTGTTGTACTGAGGACTCCATTATTACTCCAATTAGTGAAGGCTCCAGGAGGCGAGGTAGGAGAGGTTAATAAACTCAGAGCTGTTGGAGTTGTAGGAGATGGTAGCCTAGGAGAAAACAAAATTTTCGTGAGCAATGAACGATGGATGAACAACTTGAATCGTTCAGAGAAATGAAAAAATGGTAATATTTTAAAAACAAAACAAAATTGAATGATTTAAAATCATTCAAACCGAACGTCAAAAAACTATAGTTTTTTTACTGAACGAACTTTTCGAAAGATTTTGAAAGATTTTTTTACTAAACTAACGGTTTTATAAACGAACGATTTTTCAAACAAATTTTTGTAAAAACTATCGTTTTTATTTGATGAAAGAACAATTTTATTGAACAAACGATTTTACTGGACAAAATAAATAGAAAATAAAGGATAATTTAATGAACAATCCAAATCATTTTTTTAAAGATTTTAATGGTTTACAACGATGAACAAACCAAATGAAAAAAAAACGAATGCACCCATCTTTACCTTGGAGCAGAGGGTGCTGCGGGTACAGATAATGAATGTATAGGAGCAGTGGGGACCACTGGGTTACTGGCAATCACATCAAACAATCTAAAAGATTCTTTTTACAGTCCCAGGGAACATGACAGTTGGTAAATAGTTTCTTCAATAAAAACTAGGCATTAAAGACTTTTTTTGTTAAAAAATCGTTTACTCAAATAAATTCTACTTTAAAACAATTTCACTATAATATGACTGTCATATAAAGTTTTTTTAGTATTCTCTTTGATATAAAACAACTTAACAAAAATCATGGAAGAAGATATTTAAAACAAATCACCAACTGTCATGTTTCGTAGGACACCCCATATGTGAGTTCAAAGTAGGCCAAATTAAATTGTTATTATTTCAGTATTATAAATAGTTTAAATTGTTGATAGATTTACTTTTTCATCTCAATCTTAGTTTTTATATAAAAGTGACTTGTGCATTTTGGCTCGGAAATTGTCGGAATATTCAACATGGTTCAAGATAGAAAATTAAAAATGACGATATCTTCCTTCTTGTTACTAAGATGGAGGTTCAAAGAATACCATTGTGAATTGAACATGCCATTCTTTTTAATGGTGGGTCACATGAAATCAAGTCTACAGTTATTTTTTAACAAAGCCAAAAAACTTTGTTTTATACACCATAAGATTTTTTTATTTAAAAAACGAGCTAAAACAATTAAGATCATTCCTTAAGAACAATCGGTCAATCGGCATGGATTTTGTACACAGCAAGCATAATTTAAATAAATGTTTAACCTAAAATTTCAGGCTCATGTGGCCTCGCATGTCTTGATTGACATCAACTTTTTTGTTCTTAAAGATATCTCGGTAAATTTACACCAACTTTTTCACCTCAATTTTTTCGATATCTGTAACATTTTTTTAAAGATAACTTTTTAACAAGACAGACGACTTTTCTGACAACAAAGATCACTGGACTGTACTAAAAAATTTCTTCGCGAGCTATCTATTAGATTATCTACAAAGGATGAGACTACAGAGACGACCTAATACTCGTATGACTATTTAAAGGTTATATGTCATTATATTGTCTTTTAATGGCTTATTTGACAATTTGGCAAAAGTTTACGGTTGCAGGGAACCATTTATTTATTTTTGTCCAACAGCCTCATTTGTTAACTAAGTGACCTTAGAAAAAAAAACAAGTTGGCCATATTAAGACATAAGACATAAGACAAATTTAGGCTGGCTCTTCGAAATTGGTCACAAAATAGGTATTGAATCTATTTTATGTCCCTACTTCTTGTCACCGTAAACTACAACAGTGTAGCCAGTGTTAAGCGGCTACAAAAGCAGTCCACCAGCTTCATTATGTCCTCATAATGCCTGGCTGGCATTTTTTTT